TTGAAAACTGCTAGGCCATTAAATGCTAATCAAGGTGGTCAATTGAAACATTCACACCTACCTCCAACAGAGAAGAGTTATTTCTCCCACCCTGGAAGTTCCACAGATGTAAAAAACCCATTTTCCTAGTTTCCAACAGACTTCACAACCTCTGAGGATGCCTGCCATCAGAGGCAGCCCTAGGTAATTTTCAATGGTAAGCAAACAGTATTTTGCCCCCCCCCCCCAAACCAATCACTGATATATATTTTCTGTTCGTCATGGGAGTTCTGTGTGCCATTATTTGGTTCAATTCCATCATTGGTGGGGTTCATAATGCTCTTTGATTGTAGGTGAACTATACATCCCAGTAACTACAACTTGCAAGGTCTATTTTCCCCCAAGAGCGCTTCAAGAGCGCCCCTGGGCAAAATCAACTATACTGCAAATGCTTACTTTGCGTAATGGGTTGAGCCGCCCCTGCCTGCCATAAATGCAAGCAAAACGTCAGGAAAGAATGCTTCTGGAACATGGCCATACAGCCCAAAAAACTTACAACAAGCCACGAAAGCCTTTGACAACACATTAAAAATGTACTTTCCTTCAAAATTAAGAGAGCAAAACTTAATACTGTTCACCTTTGAGAATGTAAAAATATTAATCTGCTGAATTATCTTTTTAATTTTTATATTCTCCAGATCATCTAAATATACAAAAATTGCAAAAATGATTACATGGTGTAAAGGGACAGGGCAAGTATCCCCAAGGGGCTGTAAACCAAGACCTTGGATATCCCACCTCTGCCTACATAAAGCATATATGTATGTGCACATGAGGTGATGAGGTGATACGAGGAGAGTGAGGAATCAAACCTCACAAACTCAGTGACTTGTAAGTTCATGCCTGAAACACGCTATCTGTATCTGTGTCACCTTTCTTTATATGTGTTTGTTACGGGATGCAATTTTTAGATGTTTGTATATATTTCTTCAATGTGTAACCCAAACCTGGAGTCAATATGTAGCTTCCAACTTCTCCTCACAGGTTACATCAATGTAATCTCCAACTGATTTCCAGCCATGTAACTTTAGTCCTATAACTTGACACGAGACTTCAATATATATGTTGAAAAAAAGAAAATTTTATTTATGAATTCTTTTGCACATAAGCTTATCTGTTACAAAGTACTTTACTTCAGTTCCACTTGGATATTACTGCAACTGTCTTTCACTCCTTTGAATACATGAAAATTGTTACTACATAACTTTCAAAACAGTTTAACTTATTTCTACTCAGTTAAACCACTTTCTTCTCCTTCAAAATATATTTCTCCTCAGCCTCTTGGATGGTTAGCTTATGACTTTTAGTCACTCTCTTCCGTCAATAGTTTGACTAAAAACTTAGTCCCAAAGGAATCTGTTTCTCAGTTTTACATAACTGAGAATTTAGACTTATATTTGTTTTTTTCTTTACTTCAGTATAACAATGGAAGCTACAAACTTAAATACTGGTCCTTTTCCCTCTAGCTCCTGGTTAGAGACTCCTTTACTTTTTAAAATGTTCCCTCTTTTATTTTTATCTAGCTCCGCCCCTTTTCTTGCTAGCCACTCTAGAATGGATACATTTCTACTGCAAAGGCTACATATCAATGGTAACATGATGACCAAACAAATGTAGCCAGCTCCTGACTGCCTTTGCCATAATATCAACACTAATAAACATAGACAAAAAACTCCATTATAATCAGCTTTTCCTTTACACATGGGCTGAATACAAAGTCTGAAAAACACTAATTTTTGAACACACACAGAGGATAAGGACAGAGGAAAGTTGAAACAGGGCTGATATATGTGAATCTCTAATAAAAGTGAAGATTTGAATGATTCTGAATGCCTTTAGCGAGAAATACTTCTTTCTGAAGCCAATTATAATTAGATTCAAAATTCACCTTTTAATTATTTTGATTTTATTCATCCAAATTGTTCATTTTAGTCATCAATTAACTTTTTTTAAAAAAAAAAACGTATTTTTCTGGATTCAGAATGTATGCTTATAGCATATTTAGAGAAAAAAATGACATTGAAACATCTTTAAATTGTTATTTTTCATTTGGGGCCGTGGAAAAGTGCAAGCAGGATTTCTGAAAGAGTTTCCTGAAACAGTTTTTTAAAAAGTTTCACAGCAGGGAGAAAATGTGTTACTTATTGGGTAACAGAGATAAATATTTTGACATTTGTACCTGCTGTTAGCAAGACAACAAATTTGGCACAAAATAATTATCCAAATTGTACAATAAGGAACATGTAGTAAGAAGTAAAACTTTTTGCTGTGCTGTACTTGTGATGACCAACAATTTTTAGTAAATAAATCTGATTCCAATGAGTAAAAGCTCTATCATGAAGAGTAACCTTTGCATAGTGGTGGAACAGAATGCCACGGAAAGTGTTGGGTTTTCCTTTCCTGGGAGTATTCAACAGGAACTTAATAGCTATGCAACATGGGTGCTATAACTGCAAATTGCATAGAAATGTTTGCACTAAATGTAAGGTTGAACTAGTCTCTGAATACTGTGATTCTCAATGTCCTGAAGTCCATGACAGACATGGAGAATTATGCCAAGTCATGGATATCTTTTTGTGAGTAGCTGGATGCAAAATATGTGAGTTGGAAAACTGTGTGCAGTTGAAAAAACTGGAGCAAAACTAGACACATTAGGATAATAACTATTTAACATTTAAATGACACGGGAATTATGCATACAAATTAGTGCTCCATCTCAAAACAAGTCACCTACCTATATTAATATGCCTTCTCCTTTTGGCCAGAATCTGTTTTTCCTTCACTACTGACTGCAGTGTTAAAAAGGATTAACTTAAGCTGTCAGTTGAGAAAGCTCTTTTCTTCTTCCCAGATTTGGAGAGGTACCAAGTTTGGCAGCATAAATTCAGTGCGGCATCATTTGCTTGGTGGAACTGTCACTGAGTTGGGATTGGCATTGGTGTGAATCATTGGATTGTTCTGTTAGGGAATGTACTAAGGCAGACTGATACATTAATCACTAATCAGTGCTATACAGTAGACAAGAATGAATGACTTCTGTGGAGAAATTGCCACTAATACAAAGTCAAAAGAAAGATCAAAGCACAATCAATTTCAGATTTTTTTCAAAAACTGGGTGTTTTCTGGAGAATTTGTGTAGCTGGAATTAACTAATATTTAAAAACCCAACAATCTATTTTCCTGTAGTTTGATTCCACTACTCTGTGCCCTAGTCCCTGGAACAGCAGAAAAAAATTTATTTTCAATATTACATCTTCACAAATAACTAAATATTGCTATCATGTCTCCGCACAGCCTTCTCTTCTCCAAACTAAACATACTTGGCTCCCTGATACATGCCTGCCTGAGCTCTACGATCTGCTGGAGAGGCCCTACTCTTGGTCCTACTCCAGTCTCAGGTATGGCTAGTGGGAATGAGAGAAAGGGCCTTCTCGACGGAAACCCCTCAGCTCTGGAACTCCCTACCTAAGGACATCAGAATGTTTCCCTCCCTGTTGCCCTTCGGAAAGCAAATAAAAACCTTTCTCTGGTGGTTCTCAACCTGTGGGCCCCCAGATGTTTTTGGCCTACAACTCCCAGAAATCCCAGCAAGTTTACCAGAGGACCCACAGGTTGAGAACCACTGCACTGGAAGGAAACCTTTGGGGAAGACAACTGGCAAAAGACTTCGATCATGGCAATGAGATAGAGCTGGTTTAAAATATTGTTGGTTTAAATACTGTTTTACCATGTACTGTCATTTTAATGTTTGTATATGTGATGGTTTGTAATTTGAGTTGATATTTATTTATTTATTTATTTATTTACTTCATTTGTTGACCGCCGCTCTCAGCCCTAGGGCGACTCGCGGCGGTGTACAACATATAAAAACAATTACAAAAGGCAAGAACAACAATAACAATAATACAGAATAATATAATTACAACTAAATGGTCCGCTTCGTCTCATCATAGAATCATAGCCAAGTTCGTAGTCCGTAATCCGTTCCCGTCGTCAATTACCGATTAATAGCACTTAATTAAATGCCTTCTCGAAAAGCCATGTCTTCAAGCTTTTTCGGAAGGACATAAGGGAGGGCGCCTGTCTGATGTCAACAGGGAGGGTGTTCCACAGCCGGGGGGCCACCACCGAGAAGGCCCTCTCTCTCGTCCCCGCCAGACGTGCCTGTGAAGCAGGCGGGATCGAGAGAAGGGCCTCCCCAGACGATCTCAAGGCCCTCGTGGGCTCATAGGCCGAGATGCGGTCCGAAAGGTATTTTGGGCCGGAACCGTTTAGGGCTTTGTAGGATAACACCAGCACCTTAAATTGGGCCCGGTAGCAGATCGGCAGCCAGTGGAGCTGAGACAACAAGGGCGTTGTGTGCTCCCTGCGTCCCGCTCCAGTTAGTAACATGGCTGCCGCGCGCTGGACTAGCTGAAGCTTCCGGGCCGTCTTCAAGGGCAGCCCCACATAGAGAGCGTTGCAGTAGTCAAGGCGGGATGTGACCAGAGCGTGTACCACCGTGGCCAAGTCGGCTTTCCCAAGGTACGGGCGCAGCTGGCGCACAAGCCTAAGCTGTGCAAAGGCTCCCCTGGTCACCGCTGAAACCTGGGGATCCAGGCTCAATGATGAATCCAGGGTCACCCCCAAGCTGCGAACCTGCGCCTTCAAGGGGAGTGCGACCCCGTCCAGCACAGGCTGTAACCCTATACCCTGTTCGGCCTTGCGACTGACCAGGAGTACCTCATATTGTCTTATGTTTGTTACTGACAGCCGCTCTGAGTCCCTCTATGAGGGAGAGAGGACAGAAAGCAAAATGAAATTTGAAAAACATTGTTACAGAAATAATTTCAAGCAGAGAACATGAAATTCAATCTGAGTTTATAAATGATCTCTTTTATATTGCTCCTGCTCTGCACAAGCATATTTTGTTTAGGTTAATTTGGGGTAGAGAACTGTATGAAAGGAGACATATACCAACAACAGTTTGAACAGTAGACTTTATTAGAAACGTCTTCATTCTTCGGTAAATTCACATTAAAATAGGCTGAAGGCAGCTCAGTCTAAACATTCGACATCCTGCCATTACAACAACTTCCAGTTAAAAACTAGATAACTGATCAGGCAGAGAATTTTGAACATAGCAGGAAATGCAAAAAGAAAGCAGTGTCTTTAAAAAATAAGTTGATCTTTATGAATGACTACCAACAGTAACTGGAGAGGGAAGGAATTCTCTCTCTCCCCCCCCCCCCCGGAGAATGAAGAATTTAAAATATGGGAGACAAATTCAAAAGCATAGCCATGTTAGTTTGGAATATAAATGTCCAAAGGATCTTGTAGCACCTTAGGATACTTAATTGAAAGAAAGGAATTGGTGGCCTAAACTGATTTCAAAGACTTTAAGTACTTCTTCACACACACAACTGGACTCATTCAGTATCGCCACGGATTGTGGTGTTCCCAGTGGTGCCTGCCCTGGAGGTGTGGAGATCTGTTGCCCTGTATCCTGCACCGTCCCAGCTTCCCCCCTACCTCCTTATCACATGGAGGAAATCCTCCTAAAGCCAGTTTGACCAATCTAATGGAAAGACAGGGAGCCTCCCGTTGTTCGCCGCTGGCTTATTTTCAGTAGCAGCGTGTGGGGGGGGGGGGTCCAGTTCAGCCACAGAGCCACCTCAGAAGTACTTTTAATGGGTGTGATGGGAGCCGACGGGCTCCATGGCCTCCAGAGCCAAAAAGAAGCTTGTGTGAAGAGGTCCCTAGTCTACTGCCTCAGAAGTATTTGTGATAATAGATTCAGTATATGAAAGCTTATGCAACCAACTTCTTTCTTGCAATCTCTAAGGTGATGCAAGTTCCATTTTTTTAAAAAAATATGGGAGGTTCTACATATTTTGGGTAGTTAAAACATTGTAAGGGCATTATGAATTCTTCCCATGTGCTCAATTAACATGTGTAGAAGGGAATTCTATGAGTTAATCTTATTGAGTGCTTTAACTATGTGCTTCTTCCTCCTCTCCTGATGAATATGCATTACACATACATAAGAATGACTTCTCTTGTATATCAAGGTGTGGAACCATGTTCCCAAAATGAAAATAAAATCAACTGACTCAGCGGAGCAGATTCACAGCTCCACTTATATAGAATCTATCTGCCACTCCTGCCAGATATACATATTCATGTTGGAGAACTCCATGCATGGTGAGTTCTGTACATCTGTATGTCTATATGTGTGAATATCCAAGATACATACTTGAATATAAGAGTTATGTATATCTGTTTGTGTGAACATTAACCAAGGAGAATATGGGACAATTGATAGTTTGGGCAGGTAAAGATATCCTGCAGGACTGGAAAAATATTTCTGCCTGTTCAATGAGAATGTGGAACACTCGTTATGTCCAATTAAAAACAGTATTTGGAGTTCATGAAGTACACATAGTATTTATTCAGAGTTAAAAAGTGGCATGGTGTCTGAGGGTGAAAAAATGAGCTTGAGAAACTTGAATACGAACAGATACACAGCCTAATCAGCAACAAATTAAGCTTGAGAACATACATTTGAGACAATGCCATTCTGCTGAAGTAATAAGGGGAACAAAATGTTTAAGAAGGTACTTCAGCTTAACTGGTTTTCAGACTGAGCCAAGTTACTTTGGAAAAGGAGATGATCAACTACTTTTATAATCAAGACACAGCTTTTCTATAACACAATTTAAAATATGGCAGATGATGTACCATGAAGCTGGATTTTCTGGAAACAAAACCTGAGCACCTAAAAGTAAAGGCCACGAACTAGCAGTTCCAATGCAGCTCCAAATGCTCCCTGGGCACAATGTTTTCCCATTCCTTTCTATGGTGCACATGAGAATCCAGTGTGCACACTGGAGCATTATCCTTCACAAATGAGAACAAGCAGCCCCTATGTGTAAAGCACTTTGGTTCATAGCTAACATGTATAGGAATTGCAATGACTTTCTATATATACCAATTCTATCTTCTTGTAGAGTTTTGATTCTTGTATTTGAGAACCACAAAAAGTGGCTATTTCACTCACCATACAGCAACCTGCACTAAGAGTTGTGGGGGTTTTCTTCCATAAGGGCTGCTTTTTTGGGTAGGGGTCTGTTTATCTGGTGCATGCCCAATGTCAGATCTAGGCAAACATGCACTTGAACTTTGGATCTGACCTGTGAAGACAAGCTTTGGGTTCTTTATAACAAGGCTGCTAACAGTGTAGGCAATAATTATTTCAATGAAAGTATTTAAACTAATTAAAAGGGCTTTCACATTCCTTAGTAGTCTCCATAATGTTCTGCCATGGTTGGTTTTTAAAAAAATGTAAAAAATAATAATAATTAAATAACACTCCAAAAAAATCCACCACGAAGATTTATATTCCATTGTAAACAATTTCTACCATTTAAGGAGCTAGAATCATATTACTGATATTGTAAATAATTTTTCAGAGACTGAGGCAAAGGTAGAATTTCTATATCATGCAGGCGTTCTCTGCCCAAAGCGAAGCGAATTGATCTTCGGCACAGGTCCATTAAAGGCAGCGGTTCCGCTGAAAATGAAACAGAAAATAGTATCAAAATTCATTTTTTTCTTCATTCTTTCTAACAGTGTATGATAACTCATATTGAGTGAGAGGGAATACTTAAAATGTGATTACTTTAGAAGAAATACACTTTAGGGCATGCACAATTTTGCCACAACATTCTGAGCTACATTCATACTGTAGAATTAATGCAGTTTGACACTATTTCAGCTACCATGGCTCAATGCTCCGGAATCTGTAGTTTAACCTTTTTTTTTATTCTGGCAGAAAAGGCTAAAGACCTTGTAAGAACTCTTTCTATAGCATTGGGACATGGCAGTTAAAGCGGTACATTTAAGATGCACCTTAAGTGATAGACAGACCTTTATCAATACAACAGGTCAGCACTGACTATACATTCTCTATTTATGGAAGTCATCCCATGCAAATTTGCACAAATTTTGAACTTACTCAAGAGCCTAAATAAATGGCCAACAGTTAAAACAAATAAACAGCTCTGCTATAATCCAGGCTCAAGTGGTCTTAAATATTGTAGTGTAATCTTTCTTACAGCTGGATAGACAGATACCTGGCCACTAAATGCCATATTTCTTTCTTTAGAAAAAACAAACAAACTTGGAAGTATTTCAATATAATATCCTCCCCCTTTCCCTGCCTGCAAAGTTGTTGAAGTTAATAGAAACAGGCAATTCCCACCTTTCTTTCCTAGTAATAAACAAATTTTGTTCACTTCTCTAGCGAGTTTCCATGAAGCAGTTGAGAACACATATAAAAGGATCTTGGCAGTCACAAAAGTATTCAGGCAAAGTCCAAACCACACAAATGACTTTTTGAAGATACTTCTGCATCACTGTATGTTCTCATTCCGATAGAACAGCGTTTCTCAACCTGGGGGTCGTGCGGAGATGTCAGAGGGGTCACCAAAGACCATCAGAAGATACAGAATTTTCTGTTGGTCTTAAGGGTTCCATATGGGAAGTTTGGCCCAATTCTGTTGTTGGTTGGGTTCAGAATGCTCCCAAATGTCAAGGTCTATTTCCCCTCAAGCTCCACTAGTGTTCACATTTGGACACATTGAGTATCTGTGCCAAGTTTGCTTGAGTCAGTGCTCTCTGAATGTAGGTGAACTACAACTCCAAAACTCAAGGTCAATGCCCACCAAACCCAGTATTTTCTCTTGGTCATAGCAGTTCTGTTCCAAGTTTGGTTGAATTCCATCATTGGTGGAGTTCAGAATGCTCATTGATTGGAGGTGAACTATAAATCCCAGCAACTACAACTCCCAAATCACAGCATCAATTCCCTCCCCCAAGCCCACCAGTGTTCAAATTTGGGTGCATTGGGTACTTGTGCCAAATTTGGTGCAGCGAATGAAAATGCATCCTGCATATCAGATATTTACATGATGATTCATAACAGGAGCAACATTACTGTTGTGAAGTAGCAACAAAAATAATTTTATGTTTGGGGTTCACCACAACATGAAGAACTGTATTAACGGATCGTGGCATTAGGGAGGTTGAGAAACACTGCTAGAACATTTGCATTTCTGATGTTGTAAGGTCCAAAGTTTTAGAATGGTACATTTTGTCTATACAGATAACAAAAGCAACAGTAAAGAACGTAGTATTATCTTCACTGCCTCTAAGAATCCAGGAGATGTAGAAATATCCTCTTTTGCTAACATGAGAGATGAGGGAGGCAACCTTCATAAACATTCCATTATCTTGGAAACAGGTATGGTCAAAGTTCACACAGATTTGGCTACAGTGATCTCAACATACTGGAACATATTCTCTTACTGTGATGAGAACAGATACTGTATGTTTTTCACAGAACACTTTGCTATGCTAAGAAAAAAAAGATGACTTCACACACTGAACATAATCTAAATATGAGGCTGGAAGGTAATGCTTATTATGTAAATCATGTCATTTCCAGCCCCTGAACTTATTTACTTCCATAAGTGTTATTCCTCTTTACTGATTGATCACTATAAGCATTCCACAATATTATCTCTAGCAAGAGTACCCAACTTCACCAAAGTTAAAAGCCTATTAGTTCCAATCTCAGCCTTGTGCTCTTTCTCTCTCAGTTCCTTCTCCCACTCCAACTTTTTATTTTGAATCGGTCTTGCAACCCTGATACTTATCCAGCCTCTAGCAACATTTTCCATGTTACAGACCCCACTGTTGTTTTTCTACTCTTCTGCCCCTCTCCCGAATCTTGTTCTCTTCCCTGTAATTCATTCAATCTCTTCCTTACCTAACATGCCTCCCAGTTCTTGCCAAGCAGCAGAAACTTTTTTATCTCTGTTTTGGTTGTCATATTCTAGTTTTCTACATCTAGATAGCAAAATTCTCATACATATGTTCATTACATTGGTTGATCATGACTTATCAGGAAATACAAAATTGCCCACATTGGTGGCTAAGATAGTGGCACCTCACCTTCTGATGGCTCAGTGTACATAAATTTTGTTTTTAATCACAAAATTATTTAAAATATTATATAAAATTTGCTCCAGGCTATCTGTATAAGGTGTATAAGAAACATAAAGGGATTTCATGTTTAGACTTGGGTTCCCCTCCAAAATATTGCATGATGCCCATATACACAAATAGTTATTTTAAAACAAATCTAAAATCCAAAACACCTCTGGATAAGGTATGCTCACTAAAATCATGTAGAGAGGAGGTTGAGAGGAGACATGATAGCCATGTATAAATATGTGAAAAGATGCCATAGGGAAAAGGGAGAAGGCTTGTTTTCTGCTACCCTGAAAACTAGGACTCGGAGAAATGGGTTCAAATTACAGGAAAGGAGATTACACCTGAACATAAGGAAGAACTTCCTGACTGTAAGAGCTGTTCAGCAGTGGAACTCTCTGCCTCAGAGCGTGGTGGAAGCTTCTTCCTTGGAGCTTTAAAACAGAGGCTGCAGGGATACTCTGATTGCGCTTTTCCTGCATGGCAGGGGTTTGGACTAGATGACCCATGTGGTCTTTTTCAACTCAATTCTATGATTCTATGATTCCATGTTGTGAATTATAAATACTTCCACCAAAAAGCATTCCATTTGAAGATGCTTTATTGATGGGTGATTAGGTTTTTCTTAGATGCTTTGCATATAACCCAAGCGGTCACAACATACAGTACAGCTGTTTTATGAACAACAACCTCTTTTTATCACCTTTTATCTGTACAGAGCTCTTGTGCCTGGCTAATACTTTGACATCAGACCACCAACAAATACCAGGTGCACGGCTATATTTCGGAGGAAGAACCTAGCAAAATTGCCTCTGAATATTCCTTGCCTAAGAAAAAAACTATAGTATTCATGGCGTCACCATAAGTCAATTGCACTAACATTTGTATCACGTATACATGGAAACATTCACCAGTTCTTGCCTACCCATATTATCATAGTGGATGAAATTGATATGTACAAATACATTATATGGATTCATTTAAAAACTGAATTTTAAGTGCTTTACTCTAGTCCACTGAAACTACAGATGTGGGAACACAGGCGCCTTAAAGGGCCAGACTCAGATTTAGTTCCAAAATAGAGTTTATTAAACAAAGAAAAAGAACTCAGAGACACTTAACTCAGTGTCTCTGGTCAAAACACAAAGGCAACAACCAGTTCTGGTGCAAAAAGGAAACTGAAGCAATAATCCGGATTATCCAGAGAAAAGAACYGGATTAAAACAAAACACTCTGAAAGTCACAAAAATTAGCACAGCGGGCAACCGGTTAACAAACAAAGAGCTGCAGTGAAGAAAGCGTAGTCAAAYGAAGTCCAAGGTCGAAACAAGCCGAATTCCAAGATAGCAAAGTTCCAAAGTCCATGTAGGTAGCGACGTAGTCCATACTCACGAGAATCCAARACGAGCTGAAGCACACACAAACAGAAGCAGTAACCTGTAGATCCAGGACCCGATGCCAACACAAAACAGGCAGCGACAAGAACCCAGTGCACGGACATAAACCAACACATTGCCTTCTGCCTTCCCCATTTCAGAGCCTACTTTTATCTTACACATCATCATCYGAAGATGAGCTGACCTCCACCCCATCATTATCTCTTGCAGCTGTTCTTGATTCCACACGTGAACTCCTACTCCCATCCCTCCAACTTCTCCATCTTCTGTCAAGACTTAGATACCCCCAAGACTCAGATGTATTTCCCGGTTGCCAATCCTCATTACCAGAGAACCCCATAAATGTGTCACTAGACGTCGGCTCCGCACATACATCTTGTACCTCCTTTACCTTAGTCCAGTCCAATGTGTCATCCCCATCCTCATCACTCCCAGACCCATCATTCCCAGAGAAACCCACAAATGATTCTTCATCTGTGGGAGCAGTAAGTATATCCCGGATCCTCTTCCTCTGTCGCGCCTCATCCGATTCCTGCTCCCGAGCAACCCTCTTTGTTCCCCTATTGCCATCCACTGTATCTCCTTCCTCCCCCTCACTCATTGACACTTCATCTCCAGAGAAACCTTCGAATGAGTCTTCATCAATAGGTGCCATAAGTATATCCTGGATCCTTTTCCTTTGCTGTTCCTCATCTGACCCCTGCTCACGAGTACCCCTTTCCCCCCTTCTGGCACCCATACTACTGCTTGCAACGTTACTTACAGGCTCTACTACGACAACAGAGGCTAAATTCAACTGCAATTAAAGTGGACCATGGAATCACTGGGATTTAGCATTAACTTACCATTCAGCAAATAGTTATATGGGTCTACTCTACTTGAGATTAGCAAGTGGACTGAGTCCTTGAAGTGACGTCCAATGTACTGGTGATTTGTTTTTACATATTCTTAAAATGCCTAATTTCAAACTCCTTGTCCTACTTACTAATTTTATAATACATTGTTTGTTTCTGTATTCTAAAACAACACAAACTGCAGATCCTACACTACATGTATTCTTCAGTTATATTTACTTTCTCTTTTCTTCCACTTTTGACTCTGAAACACAACCAGTTTGCCA